GGCTTGGGAGGTTTTGAGAAGCGTAGAACCACCTCTCATTTGCTGTTGTTCCCAGATCCAGCTTGACCCTGGGTGGTAGCACCTGTTAGGGCTCCGGCTATGGGTAAATAATGGGGGGGGCGTTAAACAAGCAAACCAAACAATTGATGCGGGTTTCCTCATATGGATCGAAAAGGAACAAGTTTTCTTTACCTAAAATCGTTTGTCCGATGTGGATTGATAGTGCCTCACCTAGCGTGTCTTGATACACCTAGTACTCAAAAAGAAGGAACAAATAAACACTTTGCTAATGTTCCCCCCAAATATGAAGGAAGCTCTTTTCTTCGCTTTCCGTTTGGTTTACGAATGCTTAATGGTCGTATTAAACGTTCAATCGTTGAAGCCAAATGAACATCTTCCAATCCTATAAACCGCTAGTGTTGTAGGGGCTTCTGCACGTTGGCTTACTCAACAGAAAGCCTCCAAGTGATCCGACCATTGGCTAGAGTCTGGGCAAAACATTCACTTTTCCATTCCACAGCGACCATCGTTTGAACGTTCCCAGTGATGTGGATAGATAGTACCCCACCCGGCGTGCCTTGAAACACAGGTAATTTTTTGAAGAGGTTAAAAATAATACATTTTCGGTGATCGATTGCAGTATACACAGGATTTTTTCGTGGGGGTGGGGATAAAATTCATGTAAAATATTCAGCGATCGCACATGATGTCAGCTTATACAGGAGTATATACGATAAGTCCAGAATGATGAATCAGTATTTCCCCTCTGGCTACTCTTTTAATCAAGTATTTGCCGTTGTCAGTAAAGAATAATTTTCTGGTATTTAGGATTAGTTAAAAATTAAAGTGTTGAGGATTTGCTATTACGATTAGGAATTGAGGTTACTTTAGCTCCTTTTTTCTTCTTGTATGAATAAGTAGGTTCTTAGGAATTAATAATTTGTTTGTTGTAGGAGTGCAAGTGATATGAAGCGTTGTTCTTGGTTTTGTTAATTTTATTCAGGTTCATATCATCCGTCCACAACATGCACAATATTACATGAAAACTTGAAATAAAATATGAACAGCCTTTGATGTGCATGCAACAAGATATAACATATTTATTAAATGATTGATTTTTGATTTATCATATAATTTATCATATATTACAACAAATTATTCACAGAACACACACATCATACATACATACATATATATATATATATATATATATATATATAGGCAAAAACAATTTACTCACTACAAAGATGCAATTTTGTTTCGGTGCATTTCGACTGGTGAGAACCAAAATGGTCATGAACAATTCTGTTTGTAAGCAGGCCGCACGTGGCACATCACTTCCTTTTTTCTATTTGTTTGGAAGTAAGGTAGACAAGTTGATGAAATTGGGTTAATAGAGTGTTTAAACCTCAAAGTTAAAATTAATTCTAACATTAAACAAGTGGATTTCTTAGATGTAACCTTAAACTTAGCCCTTAATAATTTCCAACCTTTCTTGAAAAATAACGCTAACCCCATTTATATAAACCCTAATTCCAATCACCAAGTGCCGGTTATTAAACATATCCCATCATCTGTTGAACGTCGTATCAACCAGCCCTCTTCTACCAAAGAAATATTCGATAAACATAAAGTTGTTTATAACAAAATCCTTACCGACGGCGGCTACAGATCTTCCGAAATTAAATATAGAGAAAATTATAGTCACTCTGGAAAAAAACAATAGAGGAAGGAAAATAATTTGGTATACACCTCCTTCAACAAATTAGTCCGTACCAAATTGGAACACAAATTCTTAAATCTAATTAACAAACACTTTCCTACGATTAGTAAATTAAGTCAAATCTTCAACCGCAATACCCTAAAAATTACTTTTAGCTGTTCTAGAAATCTAGATAAAATTATTAAATCACACAACAATAGAACACTGAAACTTTATAAGGAGAATAAACGCAACCCAAACACAAATACTAATATACCCCACATAACCGATGTAATTGCAGAATCCCCGATCAATGTCCATTATCAAACAGGTGCCTAACGAAATCCATTTTATATATGTGCTATATCACATCAAATGAGAACCCCAAGGATATTAAATTGTATTTGAGATCTACTAGAAGATCTTTTAAGGATCGATATTACAATCACATATCCTATTTTACTAATACAAGCAAACGTAATATAACGCCACTTTCTAAATACTTTTGGAAACTGGAGGAGGAAGTTAATACACCTAAGGTTAAATGAAAAATTCAAAAACAAGCCAGAACTTGCAAATCTTTCAACGAACCTTGTTTTTATGTTTGCAGGAGAAATATGTATTATTAAATTTTTGAACAACAGCCAATTATTAAATCAAAGATTTGAAACCACTGTTTTTTGTAGGCATATTAAAGATCTAGCATTACTATCTTGCTAAACTTTCAAATCCATAACTCTAAAAGTTTAAAATTATAACTCAGCTTCTTTGATATACTTTCTACCCTCTTATATACCTTTCTACTAATCTATCTTATATTATGATTCTTAAAATGTTTTTTCACATATATAATACTAGTAATAGTATTAGATAAATTGATTTACATCCATACTTATTCTACAAGTTATACAGTTCGACATTAGATCAAAATTTGCTTATAAAATTTATATTAATATCCCATACTTTTAAATACATTTCTACTTATATCTTAAATTCTGACCTAAAAATTACTGTTTAAAAATAATCCAAATAACTTATGTATTCGACATACCAAGAAAAAATCTCCACCTCTTAATTTACTAATTTGCAAAATACATTCATTGATTACAAAACTAGTAGCAATAACTCCAGCCTATAAATACGCAATTCAGCTTTCGCTTTGTTTTAAAGTTACCAAAAACATTTCCAATTACTACTATAACCATTGTTTGAATTTATCCCTCCTTCCTCTTTCATCGTCTTATTCTCTCCTATCCCCCCCCCTTCACTCTTACGAGGCTTGGAAATGTTGTACCTAAACTCTTGACCGTTGTTGCCGATTTAGATTTTTCGGGTCGAGTCATCACTTTAGCACCACAACATTCCTTCACCAAACGGTTATCAACAAGCACTATTCTTTCACTCTGTCACTCTTTTGCCTTTCCTATCTTTTCTTTACCTGTAAACGTCCCCTCATACTTTTTTCTTTTTTTCAAACAAATACAAAAAGGGAAGTGACGTTCCACGTGCTGCCTGCTTACAAACAGAATTGTTCATAACCATTTTGATTCTCACCAGTCGAGGTGCAACTAAATGCACCGAAACGAAGTTGCATCTTTGTACTGAGTAAACTGTTTTTGTCTATACGAAAAAATTATAATAAATAATTATCGCTCTACTATTGGTATTGAGCTTTCTTTTGGATTAATGCTGTGAACGTTAGAATTTATATATTATTTTCGTTCTCATTACATTCGTATATATATATATATATATATATATATATATATATATATATATATATATATATATATATATATATATATATATATATATATATATATATATATATATATATATATATATATATATATATATATATATATATATATATATATATATATATATATATATATATATATATATATATATATATATATATATATATATATATATATATATATATATATATATATATATATATATATATATATATATATATATATATATATATAGTGTGTATTAATGCAAAGAAAGAAATGGCTTTCTGTTTATCTGTATGAAGAAACATCTTTTTTGCGAGCTCATTTAAGAAAACACGTCTAAATCTTAAAATGTTTTATTTTCAGCAGTAATTGAAATTGCAAATGATAAATTTGTTGTTGCAATGTTTTCTTAATGGTTAAAAAAAGTCACGTTCATTCCTATTTTCTCTGACAGAATCCTACAAAACCGCCGACTTCAACTCACCCGCTGTCATGTTACAAAATTTCACTTCTCAAAAACATAATTAAATTTACTGCATGTAAACTTTCATCTTTGGTACCTTGACTTCATGAATTTAAGCGTAGTACTAGATTGGTAGTTAGGTTTCATCATTTTAGTGCTGAAATTGATAAGTGTAACCTGTTGGGTTAATCCCACCTAATTTTCGAAACTGCTTCTAGGGGACGCTCTCCGCGCTATAAATAATCTGCGATATTTTTTCTCAGTCTCTTCTTACCTTATCCGCTTATTCGTCAACATGTAACCTCTCACGGAACACGCACTTCCCTTTGGGAAACGCATGAACAATACACACAGACACGTACGTACGCACTTTCACTCACTACACATACTTTGGACCAAAACGGTTTTCACATTCATTTGTTTGTACATATATATTGGTTCTTGTCGTTTCTTTACGTGGACTCACATCCCGATTCTGCCATTTTTGTTGTGATAATTTCAGGAGACAGTGTGTTATTTCTAATTTCAAACACCGACTTTACTAACGCCCGGAACAAGATGGGAAACGCATAACCGGCTCGCAAAAAAACCATAAGCTTCATTCTAATAGTTTCTTCACCCGCACTTCTCACTTGTGGAATTCGCTTCGGATCTTCAAAACATTTAAATGCGGCTTTAATCGTCATCTTCTGTCATTTTAAATCCTGTTCTTTTCTTATTCTTTTTACACGATAACCATTTCTTAGTTTCTTTTTATTTTCGCTAACTTCTTGCGTCGTTATCGACCTGTCTGGAGTGAAATGATTAAAACCATGTTTAACAACATGTATATATACACACACCAACTTTACTATATTTTCATTCACTCATTTATCAACATAACATATACAAATAACTTTGAAATAATTTTTGCCCCGATTGAGTTCTCTGATTTACTTCTATAGATTTGTCAATGGTTATTTACTTTGATATTTCAACAAAATATTACTTGGAGCCAACTTCTTTAAGTCGTTAAACTAAAATTAATCGTTTCAATATCACATTTATTCAGTTTCTGTTACCTCACTTTTTTTGCCTGAAGAAATCCATCTTAATTAATTTCCTCATCTTGTATAATTTCTTTTTTAACAGATAAATTTTCTGAACTTGATTCTTGTGTACTTTCTTTTTGAACTTCGTTTTGTGATTCACCATTTTGTATTTGTTCATTTTCTGTTGACGCTTTTTCATCGTTTTCTTGTGTTTCATCCTCATCGGCTTTATTTGGGATATCTTCCAGCCCAATTGAGAAATCTGGAATATTGTCATCGATGTCTTCCTCAAAGTCGAGCATCACACATTTTGTAATCATAATATTATTAATCGGGTGTTCATTGATCGTTTTCTGCTCTTCCATTTTTTCCAACAACTCTGTGCCTTCCAGCAACTGGCTGCAACAAAAGAGAACTCAAATTATTAATGTTACATTTTTGTTTGTAAAAACAGATATAAAGCATCGGTAATTGTTAGTATTTATTCAGCTTAACTTATTTTCGCACAAGAATATAATACTAGAGCACCTGGTAAGAAACGAATTCACTAGCAACGGCTTACAAGTCTTGCTTGCATTACAGATGCACTATATATATATATATATATATATATATATATATATATATATATATATATATATATAACTAGCTTAATCTGACACAATTAATCAATAATTAGGCAACTAGGGAGACAGAAAAACATTCGCATCGGCCTACCAGATTATTTTGATAAACGCTAAAATAGTGTTCACTAACAACGTCTTGCGGGAATGACATGACAATTGTTTCGCAGACACTACTTCCGTTGATGCTTAGTAATGTTGAAGTTTTCTGAGGGGAAAAAAAGTGATGTTGAAGATTTCTGTGGAGAAAAGAAACAACTATACGAGATAGATTCAGAATTTTGACTCTCCAAATAGTCTGCAATGAAAATATACACAATCAGAATTATAAGCTATAAAGGTAAGCTTCGTTCTTCCTTTTTTTTTATAATGATGTTCATCCTGTACAAGGCCCAAGATCCACTCAAGGTTGAGGGTTACAGAATAAGAAGCAAAGTTTATGGGGATATGTGAAGAAGATAACAGCTGCTTAAACTTGTACAGGTTAAGTTTGTAGTAATCAGGGAAGCATCCTCTTGGGAGTCGGTGCCACAAAACAGAGGTTCATGGGAAGAAGCAGCTCGAGTGGAATTTACATCTCACTAAAATAGCGATATATAAATTTTTTCCAGAAAAGTTTTGGAGGAAAGATCTATGACAAAGTGGAAAAGTTTTCGTGTGACGCGTTTCGTCCCTTAAGACTTCATCAGAGTAAGTTTGTTTACGTTAATGCGACTACACATGCGCAAGAACGAAACACGCTATGAATTTTAAATTTATGTATATTTTTTTTAATGTTCTGGGCATATAATCTAGCCAATTTCATTTGGATTCTTTTTCTTTTTTGTTTCCATTATCTTTATCAAATATCCAATATTGTGATTACAGAAGATCTGCCAAAAATGGTGAAACGTAAGAACCTGGATATAAATTTATAATGTATGAACTAGGGATTAAAGCACTTTCTAAAGTTAAAAGTTAAAATTTGGATTACCAATGGGATCGCCTCTTAGTGGAATAATAGCATGTATTTTCTTAGAATTTCTGGAATCTAGTCCTTTCCAAAATATTTTATCTAAACAATCAACATACTTCTGATATATTTATGATGCCCTATTAATATATCCCCGTGATACTGACTTACCTGTTCTTCTGGATAAACTAAACACAATAGAATTTACATACGAAATAGAAGAAAACAATACCTTACCCTTCCTAAATATCATGCTATACCGTATTGACAGTAGTTTAAAATTTAGTGTCCACCGAAAATAAACCATTAAAAATTATCTCATAAATTTCTATTCCCATCATAACAACAAAATGAAATCTGGAATAATCATCGGATTCTAAGAGCACTCAGAATTTGCAGCCCTCAATATTTACACGAAGAGAAGAAATATATTGAAAATACTCTCCAATATCCCAACGATTTCTTATTCAATGCAAAACAAAAAATATTCCAAAATAGAAAAGTGGCCCTCTTGACAAACCCAATGAATAAAAAATATATTGTTTTACCTACTAACACTATCACAAATATAATTGAAAAGAATTTATTTAAACTCAACAGAGAATTTTTCACAACTACATCTAAAACAATAAAAGACTTAATCGATACAAAACAAGATAACGAGCCAAAACTTGAAGGGGGAATTCACCTGCAAGGATTGTCAAAAAGATTATATTGAAGAAACCACAAGAAGTTTAAATAAAATATTATATGAACACAAAAAGGACATTTTAAAAACTATCTTATTAGACACATTAGTTGCTCATCGTAACGAGACTGACCATAAAATTTTGCTCTTAAACAGTAAAAAATATTACGAAAGCAATTGCTTTGCAAAAATTGCAGGTCAAACCAACAATAAGGAGTTTGTTTTTCCGTCATCGTCCAAGGATTAAATGCAGTCGCCAATTAGAATGAAACAATTTATTCAAGTAGAAGAGGCTTTCAAACTCTACTTAACTTTTTTTGCAGTCATAAATCAAGATGGCGTAGTATGAAGACGGCTTACCCAAATGCTACATATCTGCAGTTCATCCAGGGTGTGGCTGTTAATGTAATGTAGAATTGGGAATTATTCGTATGACGGCCATGATTTGCCATTCCCAGTATGCCTCGCTTATTGTGAGGAATTGCAAAGTTCTCATCTGAAAAACAAGAAAAATGTTGGTTTGAAATGTCAAGAAAAATAAAACCATCAGCACGGGAAGTGCTAAAAAGTTCTTCGTAACCAATTCCTAAAACCGGTATTTTTTATGACCGAATATTAGAACATTGAATTTGGGAAGTGAGACGGCTCAAAAACTTTTCGGTACACCCTCGTATAATTTTTAGACGAACTTTCAATTCAATTCACTGTAGATTTTTTCCATTTTTTTTCTTCTGATACAAGCCAACAATGCGTTTGTATAATATTTAATATGTTCCTCTCATCATTTTCTGCAGGCATTCAAATTAAGCTGCATGGTACTATAATAGTCTTATTAGTTCAAACTAGCCCATTGCGATGCCGAAGCAACTTTAACAGTACTTAGAGGCTGGAGTCGTTTTCAAATATAGACTTACCGTATGTCCTAGTTTGGTCGGCACTGTCCCAGTGTGAGGGGTTCGTCCTGGTGATATTAGCTAACAGTATTTTTCTTTTCTTTTATGTTTGTTAGAGTGAAAGAGAGCGTCGAGCGCGGAATTTTAAGTGGTGTTAGATCATGAAAAGAATTTATTAGAGAAGAAAATTAAGCTAATAATGAAAATTGCAAACTGTCCAGATTTGATGATTGGAACTAATGGAAAACGTATTCAGAACAGACCAAAAACTCGCTTTATTGGTGTGGCTCTCCAATATAAACCTGGACGTGGTCTGAAGTCGTTATTCGAAGACACATTCAGAAAATAAACACTAGTTTCATTGTGGCAATGTTTGGCTTCTTTCCTGGCTACCGACAGTGTCTGCTGATTTTCAATGTGCAATATGCAGATTAAATGCTAAAACGAAATATAGACCAGAAATTGGAAAATCTGTTGTTTTGTCATCAAATTTACCTTTACCGCCATAAATGTCAAGTTTATTACTACAGAAAATGACAAAGCTAGTGAAGCTATTGAACAGAAATTAGGACATGAACGATCATAGCTCTCCTTAATTTCCTATCCTCTCTAGCTCTAAGCAGTGGTTATTCACTTAGTTTCCCTCTCAGTCCTTGTTCTGTTATTCATGTTCACAAGCTCGATAGGTAGGTTACTCAGTTTCCCCCCTTGCTTTCAATATGTGCTGTGGACGTTAAATTCTACACGCCTTCTTTCCTCATTTTCTGCCCTAGAAATTTCAACTTTTTCTGATTCTGAATACAAGTCTCTTTTTATTCTCAGTTTCATTAAAACTTACTCATTGCTTACATGCTCCGTCTGTGGTATTCATAGCATCCTTTTGTTGAACCACATTTCTGTAGTCTCAAATCGCCTTTTCATCTGTGACGAAATTGCCCAGCATTTCTTGCCATATAGGAGGATTGATATTACATAGAATTTCAATATTTTTTCTTTGTTTATAACGAAATTTTCCTGTTTCTTAATACTCTGTTTAGCTTTTGGAAGACATCTTTTGTCACTCCAATGCACTTTCGCATTTCTGTGTCCGATTTTCTATCGTCTCTTTCTCCTGATAGTTAAATTTACAGGATGATCGAAAAGTGACTCCCGAGTTTATATATGATGGACTCTCCCGTCTACCTATATAACTTTTACAAGACGGGAGATTCTATCATACATAAACTCAAGAGTTACTTTTCAATCACCCTGTATTCTGATGCTTCTAATTCTGTGTATACTCAGTTCAAATGTAGCGGCGTTAAAATACAACCTTGAGTATTGTTTCCTTTTTTAACCTACTGCCAGAATTTGCTGCGCGATTACGTGGGTGGGAGGTCTGAAAATTATAACTAAATGTCCAAACATCTTTTTTTGCTTTTTGTTTTTGGAAAGGCTTCTGGCTCGATCCGAGAATTTTTCAGCACTTTTATACATTTAATCATTTGACGGACTTAATATTTTCTTATCTATTTGCTTTATACACCTTGCCCGTGATGCCACAGTTGAAAATAAACTTCATATTTTAAAGCATGCCTGAAGCATTCTGAATAGATTTCTGGAGTAGATTCAATTAAGTCATTGATCCTTTGAAAACGATTGTAGTGAGTAGCTTAGAGCTGGAATCAACCAGTTGATCTTTTTAATAAGGGAAAGGCGTATTTGATTTTCTTTATGGAATTATGTACCAAAAAAAAAAAAAAGGAAAAAAAGAAAAGAAGGGTGAACGTCGTCAAATCCATAAATGCAACATTTTTAAATACACTGCTAACTCTATGTGTCGTGTCCCTTCAGAACGTAGGCGATCATAACTCTCCACAATTTTCTGTCTTTTGTAGCTCTTTAAAAAAAATGTCATCTCTCCTAAGAGTTGTTCCGCGATTCATTCACTCAAGCTTGCTAGATAGGTTATGAGTAGTTTTCTCTACCTCTTTTGCCTTCAAGCTATTCTGTGAGTATCCAGTTTGCCAAGCCCTCTTTCCTCATTATGTGCCCCAGAAATTTCAGCTCTCTTCCCGATGTTAAATATAAGTGCCCTTTTTATTTCCATTTTCCTACAGATTTCGTCATTGCTCACATGTTTGGTCCACGGTATTCTCAGCATCCTTCTGTAGAAGTACATTTCTGTTGCTTCAGATCTCTTTTTCATCTGTGAGGAGATTGTCCAGCATTCTTTGCCATCTAGGAGGACAGGTATCACGTAACCGTTCAGTACTCTTTTCTTTGTTTCTAACGAAATTTTCTCTTAATACTTTGCTTAGTTTTTGGAAGACATCTTTCGCTATCCCAATGCGCCTTCGTATTTCAGTGTCATACTTTCCATCCTCTGTTAAAACACTCCCAGGATATTTAAATTGTTGATTTCCATACTTCCATTTGGTAATTTGCGTATTGGGTTGTTCCTTTTGCTAATAATTAGTGACTGGAAATTAAAAAGAAAAAGATTATATTAAAATCTTTACTATAAATAACAATTATTGTCAATTACTCACCTTCGAAAGTTTCTCCATAAATGGATCTTCCATCACTACCATTTCCTCTTATTATATCTAAATAATAAAATAATTTAATATAAGCAAACACGTGAATTTATGAGTGATAAATCTGAGAAATTTAAATTACTAAAATCGTATGAATGATTGCGTTTTAGATATTTTCAAGAAGGAAAAAAGAAAGAATTTTGTTCACATAAAAACACTTTAGAAAGTCATCGATAAAATAATTTTTCTTCTATTTTTCCGCTGTTGGACAACGGAATCCTGGAAAATGTCCATTGGTTTTCTATGGCTTATCAACCTTTTGCAGGTTATTTAAAGCCAGAAAATATTTTTAGATTACAAGAATTTTTTTTTTAGATAATAATGGTTTAGTGATTACTAATTAACCCATAGCTGGGAGAGAGGAGGTGGATTCATACCTTTCCTAAGGTTATTTGCGCCTAAGTGAATGTAACGAACCCAATTGGGAATTGGAATTCGGCTCTACGATTAACAATTCCAAGCCACTCTATCCATCAAGCCAACCGCATATCAAAGCTTACAGCACTTGGTATTCCAAAGCAGTTACCCATCTAGGTACTGATCACGCGCAACGTTGTTTAACTTCGATGATTCGATGAGCGTACGGGAACGGGTGTTTCAATCTGTTGTGGCCGTAAACCAAAAATATTCAGTTTAGGGTTTTAGCACTAAGTAACATTTGCGTAGTATTTAATTGACACATTATCCAAAAAATAATATATTGATTTCAGGATATGTTGTCCTTTACATATGACCCTTAACTAAACACTCGAAATAAATATTCAAATGGAAAATCACTAATAAATGTAGTTCAGTAATTAGAACATACAAATGAAGTCCGGGGGAATTAAAAAAAAATAAAAATAAAAAAAGCCATCTATTACCAGCAGTACCCAGACTAGAGAAATAACTTCAACTACATTTAAAAAGGAGCCGCCAACACAATGTTGTACATGCGGTAAGGGGCATTAATTACGTTTTTAAACATTTAAAAAAAAAAAAAAACACCAATGTCAGACGTGCAACCGGTGGACACAAGAAAGGGTTTTACTGCATACAGCAAAGGAAAGTCTTTCGCCACTTAAAAATGGCCAAACCTTCTTCCACAAGAAGCCGTGCTGCAAACATTCAAAAACAAATCCTGTTTTTGAAACTTTCAAAGTCGACGGAATCTCGCAGAAAATATGACCGTTCCTATTAACAAACTCAGCTTCGAATATAACCTTGATTTCACATTGAGCATTAATCAGTAAACCTGTCGTGGCAAACACTAACAATATAGCACAGAATTGTGATTTGCCTTTCAACAGCCAACACTTTCCCGGAATATGTTATTTTACTGATTATTCTGAATTGAAATTACTTGGACTTGATTGGATTGAAGAGCTTGATCTTTTTTGTTTGTCTTTGTTTAATGCCCCCCCCTCACTTCACGTCTGTATTACGGCTTGCCTCTGCTTCAGAAATTAAAAGAAGATTCCATTTTAGCCACCAGGCAATCGAATCTTAACTCACAGCTATTATTACTGGCCGAATATGGACAAGCCGTTGGAAGAACTGGTGTACACTGATGCTAATTGACATTTGAAACTAAAATCCCCTCAGAAAAATAATTGCCTGTTCCATAGTCCCCGCTGGTCACGACTCCAATGTTGACTTTGCAGAACTTATCAATAGACAATATTACTTGATTGTAGTTTATTTTTTATATATTTATATATATATATATATATATATATATATATATTATTCGTCCAGAAGTATTCACTGGGAATCAAACCAATTCTGGTGAGACTATAATAAAACTACAACAGATTTGGCGGTGCCGGATATTTCTGTTTCCGACAACGGAAGTTAATTTATTTCGGCAGAATTTTCAGTATTCTGCCAACAAAACGAGAAACCCCAAAGCCACACACCCTCTGACCGACAGTAACTGACAAAATCCAGAGTTAAATTAAACGTAATTCTACGTACGGGAGATATGGTCACGTGTTCTGGCGAGAATGAACAATAATAACATTATGCTTGAAAACCGTACCATGGGTTAACCCAGGCACTGTGAGTGAAATTGGGTAGACGAGGCCGCTTGGAAGCCGTCGATAGTTGTACTAGCACGAAGTCAGAAGTCATCGTGACCGAGGGTTTGAACGTGCTGACCTTGTTCAAAAAACCGATCATGCCACAAACAATAACTATGGTCTGTTCAATATAGTTGCAGTATAAACCACAGGTGGAGTTTGTTGGCTGAGTGGATGTCTGTAATCTGTAATAGGAGTTTGCTAGTAGCCCTGACAGATGGGTGTGCTCAGAAACAAATAGCCATTTTATATATATAAGGCGTACCGGGCTAAACGGTAACTCCCTCCGCTGAAAAGCGCAAATTTTTTTTTAATAAAATTTCTCGAACATTCAGGCCAGTAGGTGAAAATAAATAAATAATCATACTTAAATACGAGTAGCCACTAAAAATAACATTTAAAGTCATAAAAATCTGTCGGATTAATAAAAATTCATTCTAAATACATATATATATATATATATATATATATATATGTAAATTATTGCCCTAATAATCTGTTGAATTTCTTGACTTCTGGTAACATGTTTTTCTTAAATTCATTTAAGATCGAAAACTCTGACAAAATCAGCTTAGTAAGTGAAGATAAATTGTGATCGTAGCTAAGGACCTACTTTGAAGTAACCATTTGTATTCTTTTTATTGAAGAGGATGACTTTTTAAATCTTATTTGTCAATCTGATGTTAATAATATCAACTATGCTGTATCCAAAAATAATCATTGGGATAGAAAACGAAATCTAAAAACATGTAAACAATAATCACTAAACTTGCAGGGTGATAAGAACGATACTTGTAGCAGCCGATTATTTTGTGGTCTTTACAGGTTTTTCTTCCAATTTATTAGCTTCATCGACAAAAATGTTGCACTGACTATCGAATTTTCAAGTATGGCGTCATTCTCTCCAGATATTATAGCTCCAGAATGAGGGTGAGGGGATGTCCTATCTTCCATCGCTGTACAGCATGGCAAAATTATTGGAAATATAAGCGTCGGTGGCGATGTTAGAGCTAAAGCATTTTCAAGAACTTGACTGAAGTGAGTTCAACAGTACACAGAACTTGAAAACTTTGGGAGCAGATGTATTTTCTCTGGTATATATTTTAATTCATTCCGCAATCATTTTTCCTCTTCTCATTACCTCCAACAATAATTTCCGCAGCCTCCATTTTAATTTCCCAAATTATATTTTTCTACTGTAATGTTGTTTTGAGGGAGAATATATCCCTACAAGTTTGGACTCGGCTATCAGAAGAAAGACATAAAAATACCCCTACATCAAGAGGAGTAGCAGGAGGAACAGCTTTTTTTTCTCTGAAAACAGTCATTCACGGCTAAACATTCTCTTCCCTAGTTTCTATTCTACATTATGTTTTCTTGTATCAAAAGGTAATAAACTTGGTGTTAAACCAATTAAGGTTTTCTACTGTTGTTTTTGATAACTCAGTTACAACAAATGCTAATCGTTGAGCATTACAAAAGAAAACACGAGACTAAATACTTGATGCGTAACATTACTGTTTATTTAATTCCGGACTTCATCAATCACCAATGACCAGTGGGTGTGTGACCCTCGGGTTTTCTCCGAACGTGGACCCTACACCTTTGTGTGGATGTATCAGTCGGTAGATGCTTATATATGTTTCTCATGGTTTTCTCCAGGCGCAGCTGCGCCGATTATGTGTTCACCTGTCGTGTTCAGCGACTGAAATTCTGTGAGGTGCGGAACTACACTTGGTGGGTAAGCGGTCATCTGTGAATCCACGCCCCCCACTCCCATGCACCTGGCTTCCTGAAGGACATGAGCGCAAATTCCACCTGAGAATGTTAGCATTTCCGTCCTTATTAATGGATTTTCTAAATAATTGGCTGGTAGATTCAATTATTCTTCTTCTAATTCTGAACATGTTGAGCTTTTCTAAGAGTAAAAGTGAGTAGACACACCACATAAAATACAGAATTTAGGATCTGCTCTCTTCCATCGAGCTATACATGAAATGCCGCCATTCTGTTAATGTCAATGTGACTGCCAACATGACTAAAATCTATGATCAGATTAGCGATGGCATTTTCCTAAGCCTCATTCCATCTACCGGGAAACCAGATAATTAGCCTAAAGCTATTTTCAGAAATAACATCTTTAAAAATCACCATTTAACGAATTAACTAATTACTCGAAATATCATTAGGATCATAAGAATATGAAAGAGTTAATGATTAAAAGCATAAGCAACGTAAACGTTTAGAACTGTAAATTATGGATTTTCTCTGTAATATCATTAGTAAGGATATTTAATGACAAATAAATGAAATCTATTGCTGATTTTTTGTTCATATTTAAAAAAAAAAAAAAAAGAATTACATTTCTATCTACTTAGATGTAATGTGCTTCAATGACAATTTTTTAGAAAACCTTAAATCAAATAGCAGTGTAGACTGGGACCCCTATCCATGGTTGGCAATCACTCTAGGAGGACAACTCTGAGCTCAAAACCGCAAAGAACGCAACGGAAAAGCACTCTATGAATTTTCTTAGATATGGCAATTCAAAGATATATAGAAATGGAAGTTAGAGAGTACCATAATCCCTTGTGCCTGGCGTAAAAAAGGGACAATCTTTAATTTAATAACCTACTTTTTCAGTTCAATTTCAGTGACATTTTCAATGATTAGTCTGTTAAAAGCTCTTGCACAAATGTTTTATATGCTATGTAAAAATCTAATATTTAAACGTTTCAAAATATAAAGACGAAACATACCCGTTTACGTTTTCCGTCAAAAAGTTTCTAGAAATAGGAGATGATGAAACTTACACACACACACACACATACATATATATATATATATATATATATATATATATATATATATATATATATATAGTTGGATTGATGTGAGTTTGTGACCCTGGGTTTCACGCTCTTGCGATCGTCAGAGTTTGTCAGGGTTACAAACTCACATCAATCCAACTAAATATGTTAACTCACTGATATTGAGCGCTTTTCAATAAGTATCGCGCATATACAATATATAAATAATATATGTAAAAATTATATATATATATATATTACATACATATATACGTAGGTTGAATTTTTTTTTTAAAGAACTGATCCGACGTGCAAATTTTCGGGATAACAACTGAGACATTACTCTACTTATTGAACTATTTGGTTCATACCACGTTGACTGATAAATTCCTACAACAAAAAATTCTTAAATTGCCATATTAGTAAAAACGCACTCATTTTTTTTTTTTAAATTCAACCTTAGCGTTGCGTTTGTACGCTCCACAGGTTTGTATCCGTGTATAACACATTTAAAAAGAACATTTCGATTCGCATTATATTTGGATGCTACCTCAATTTTACCAAAAACAAAATAATTTCCATGACTGATGATGACTGGACGAACCGTCGAAAGTACTTGCATATTTAAGGAATACATAATACAGTTTATGATTTTAAAAAACAAGGATCATGACATTCATCGAGTGATTAGTGGGTTAATCCATCTTCAAAATTTAGTTAGCGAAAGGATTTCGCCATTTTATATCA